AAAGAAAAATGTGAAAAGTGTTACTCCCTGTAGCTTGTGTTGGAAGCACAGCTGTTGCTCCATGAAGGCAGAGAAGGGGTGTTTAGGAAATGAAACACCAAACGTGGATCCTACCTTGGGGTCAAAGCTTAGGAGACAGAGAAGCCCCTGGGGTCCAGGCCCTGGGATAAGTAGGGTGACTTTAAGCCCTTGCACAGGGGGCTGACGTGGATAGGGTTGCCAGGTGGTCCCCCCAAAAATACCAGACACACAGTATTTTGGTCAAGCAAAAAAAAAACACAGGATAAGTACTGGCTCTCCCAGCCACTCCCCCCGTCCCCGCTAGGCTTCTGATGCGCCAAGAGCGGTGATCGCAGCCCCGCCTCCCAACCTGGGAGTCCAGGCTGGGAGGTGGGGCCGCAATCGCAAACCAGCTACTTCCCCCACCTCTGCCAGGCTTCTGCGCAATCACAGGCTCCTGGCGCCGATTGTGGCCCCGCATCCAGCCACTCCCCCCGCGCATGCCAGGCTTCCATCCAGTGCACAGCCGGAAAAAAATCAGGGAATACCGGACATTGCACATGTCCGGTATTCTCTGATTTTTTTTTTTTTTTACCAGACAAAGAGCGCAAATACCGGACTGTCCGGTAGAATACCGGACACCTGGCAACCCCAGCAGTGGAGCCTGTGCTTTGGGCTGAAATGGGCTGAAAGTTACTCCCATCCCACACTGCACAGCTTATCTGAGGGGCTGAAAGGTTCCCCAGTGCTGGTGCTGATCAGGGCTCTAGGTGGCTCTGGCATACACAAAACTGGGCTCCCTCCTGGGCAGCACCTCATGCAGGAGAATCTTGGACTTTCTGGGGGTGCCAGAGCAGCAGGAGAGCAAGGAGCCCACCAGCCAGACTGCAGGTGTGCGGAGTGCTCCTGCCAGGACTGGTTCTTTGCAGAACACTGGGAGCGGGACATGTCCCACTGGGGGGTGGGTTAGGGAGGAGCAGTAGAGGGAAGAGCAGGAAGGGAGGATGCAAAGGGCTGACGGGTGGGCAGCAGAGGTGACATTTGGTGCAGTCAAACGTCTGCCCCCAAAAAAACCCTTTCAATTGGGTCTCCCACCTACTATCAACCATCACAGCTTGCCTCTGGTCATTATTCCCCTTTGTCCTTGTAAAAAGGCGGAGAGAGAACTTGGAATCTGAAGGCAGACGCTTCAGAAAGAATCTTGTGCAATGTAAAATGCTCTTTCTTGCCCCATCTACCTCTAATTCCAAACAACACAACAGAGCCTGCAAGACAATAGCCAAATTGCAGACAGCAAGCCTCAGAACAGCAGCAACCCGGCTGGCGTGACTGCCACTTAGATGTCACATGATCTCCTGTTTGTGTCCCCCCTCATGAGAGTTCTCTGTTATTATCCCGTCGCAGCCACTTCTGGAAGCACTAAACCTCCATAACCCCTTAAATTAAACGGTGCATCTTTGGCCTGTAGGGGTTAGCCCCTTACTATGTGATCTTAAAAAGATGCTCTGGTAGCTCTTACTGTAATAAAAGTTTCACTGAGGTGATGGAAAGATTGGTACGCTCCCCAAACAGCATCGCAGAAATCAGATGTAATATAGGTTTCCATTGTGGAAAAATCCCTACATTTTGAAGTGAAACAGCCTAGACCTGTTCTACTGGTCTTGGAATATGCTGCAAGGCGTTATCACACCATAAAAGTGCCTCTGAAATCGTACAGTAGGTCCACATCTCAAAAGCTAGTGGCTCCTCACTTCATGGACGAGCCCTTGGGTTTGGGTCGCCCCTCCCCCTGTCCCTTCCCCTTTAGGCTTATTCTCCACTTGCTTTCTGAGTTTCAATCTCTTTTTTTTCTCCTTACTGGTGCTCCTCTTCTTCCCTGTTAATTTTAATTCCATACAAGTTGACAAAGTGTTATGTGACTATGGTTAGCCTGCAATCCAACAACTTGATGCCATCACCATTTATTTTTGTCTAAGTAATTGCAGATACATTGGACTGAACTGTAACTTGAAATATTTGCCCATAGAGAATTCTTGGCATAGTCTCTGTTCAGTCAAATCAATGTATGTAGTTGTGTAGCATTTCTGGGAAAACATACTTGCAAGTAGTTTTTCCAGTGTCTTACTGCAGGTTTCTATTGATTTCCCCAAGCATATTGAAGTAGGTCTGCACATTTCATTCAGACAACTCCCTGTGTTGAAATGGAGCGCAAGACAGTGCAGTGCTACAGGTGAAACAGTTAAGGTTTATTTTACTTCCCTAACTGTATTCTGCATGCACTAGTTTCCTGCCTTCTGGACAGAAAACATTACACATTCAACTTCTCTCCAATTTAACCCAAAGTAAAGTCTCTTGCTTTAGTGGATCAAAACCCAAATAGATTAAGAGAAGAAAAAAAGACACTGAAAAGTTTCACCACCTTACATCTTTGCTACCATAACCTGAGCCCCACAACTTACCATTGCTTGCCTCGTCCCCTTCCGACTTAGGCAAAAAGATGCTTCCCAGATCATCTTTTCCACAGATCATCTTCTTCACATACTTCTCTGACCTTGTTTTCCCACTTTGTAATTCCCTTCACTAGCTTCCACTTTTCCTTCTGTACCCAGTTTACACTGCTCACCTATACTTTCGGGCTCTACACAATTCTGGTTCCACTTACAGTGTTTTCTAGTCTCCTCCTACATTCCACAAGCTCCACCCAACCTTGTCTCCCAACTTCTTTTTCATCTCAGTTCACTGTCATTTCATATAACTGCTTTTACTTGGAGTAACCTGCCAATTAAAATTTACCAAGTAGATTCCCCTCTTCCTTTAGAAACATAACCGAGATTAACCTTTTGCAACAAGCATTCAAGATATAAAAACCACTTTGTGTTTATGCTGTTTTATTTAGTCTGTTTTATCAGATCTTTGTTTCTTCATCTTAAGATTGCACAAGAGAATTTCTTGTAAAACTACTTGTGTTTTTATAAGTGCAGAGAAACGCACCCTCATGTGTACAGATTCAGAGGCTAGATTAAAATGAACTTCTACTTTTATCATGTATGACTGACAGTTCCAGTGGGACTATCCCTACTTTCTCCATTTAGAATAGTTACAATCCCTTAACAAATCAGAATTGCAAATTTGAGTCTGCAGATTGTAGCTTCTAAAGTCAGTCAGCTGCTTAGCATGTGGAGTCACACCTGTACCACAGGCAGTGTCTGCTTGGCTCAATTTGGATAAAGCAATGAGTAATTTCTCAAGACCATGCTCCTGCAGGCTTCTCAAAGCACACTGCAAAAGGTTAACTCTCTTGCTGGATTCTCCTGTTTGTAATTGGTGTATTTAATTCCCTTGCTCTGTATGCCCACATAAATAATCTTTAATTTCTGACAGACAACCGGCAGAAGAGGAGAGCATTTAAATATTACTCATAGTCATAACAACTTAGTACAGGAGTGATACCAGGGATTAATATAGCACATGATTTTATTTCTAGCCAAGAGATTCATCTTACTCATATCCTTAAAAATTCTTCCTAACTGACCTTTGTAACTGAAACACCAATTAATATGTAATTAATGTTTAAAAACAGCCTTCAGATAGTTATTTGGGATCTACAGTATTCCAATTTACATTTTATGAGGTATGTTTCTCTTATACATAGCGTAACTGGCATTAGTATATTGGTAGTATTCTTTCCTTCATGCCCATGATTTTCTTTAGTGTCTTGGTTGTTGTGGGGTTTTTTTGGTTTTTTTTAAACACCTTAACAAGTAGTCCTGTAGCACCTTAGAGACAGACAGACAGATAGATAGATAGTATCATGAGCTTTTGTGGGCAAAACCCACTTCCTCAGATGAATCATGAAAATTCAGAGGTGGGTTGTGCCCATGAAAGCTCATGATACCAGCTATATGTTTTGTTAGTTTTTAAGGTGCTACTAGACTAGTAGTTGTTATCTTGGCTACTCTCTAAGGTGCTGCAGGACTATATATTTTTTAAAGTTACAGACTAACATGGCTACCTCTCTGAGACTTTTGAAGTGTTGTTATAAATCCAGATACCATTCACATCTATGCACCTAATTGCAGAGCCATGTAGTAAATAGATTTTTTCACCTGTCCACAGGTTCTAAAGTACCATCTCACTGGACCACTAGTACCTCTCCCCAGAAACTACTTCCAAAATTCTAGACTCCAGAACCACTTACGCTGCTCATGCCCAAGAAGGACAATATCCAGTGCTGCAGTGACATATATATCAGGCCTTATATCTTGAGACTGTGCCGAGACAGAGATGCAAGCTTTAAAGCAGGGAAGCATGGAAATTCCTACCTCACTGGCAGATCTATGGAATCCTGGGCATTAAAACCATTTTAGGCCACTTTTTAAGAGGTTACTATGGCTCCTTCTGAGAACTGTATGGTTGGTTTCATGGGAAGCAGAGGAGGCTAACTTCACAGGTAGAAGGATACAAAACAGTGTCAACAAGATCTTTAAAACTAGTACATTTGTAATAGTTTTCCCTTCCTACAGATACACAACAGAGTGATTTTGGGTAAAGGTTCTATCAGTCTGTGGCTAGAATGATGTGAATAACTTACGCAGCTACCCCGAGTGATGTGGATCTAGTCTTCATACCACAGCATCCAGCTATGTATCCCACTGACACAAATAACAAATTTATAGCTATAGCAAAGGAGGCTGAAACAAGCCTGAGAAGTCCTTTGCCAGTGACCACTATTGTCCAGTTTACCAAGAGAAAAGGGGAAACTCTACCTCAACTTCCCTCTGCCTGTCTGACTGTAACCAAAATAACAACAAGAACATGAAGTTTGCAGACAGCATCGTCTTCACAGTACATTAACCCAGACAACAGCTGAACATATTTTATATATTATATTCAACTGCAGCCGTGACCTGCTTAATCAGAGAGGAAGAGAAAGGCTCTCTGGCTATTCTACAAATACATTCAAAAGGAAAAAACCCTTCATCACTGTCAGTGTGTCTTACCTCCTTCTCCCTGTTAAGCAGCACCAGCTGACTGTCGGTCAGGATGCAATATTTTCTCTCCCATGTTGTAGTTTCAGAATAGGGAGACTGGCCGCAAGACAGTCTGTGAGTAGGTGGCCCTTTCACATCTGTGAAAGAATAAAACAATCATTAGAGAGCTTCATTAGCCATCTCCTCTGTAAGTAAAATGAGTGCATGTTTCGGAATATTAAGAGTCTACTCTTCCCACTAAAGTGGAGCTTTATATAGTCACAGTACAGATATTAACACAGATATTTTTTATTTACAATAGAACTGTAATAAATAAAAAGCACCTGAGGCACCTGTAAGTTACTGTGCTAAGAACTAAAAAGCTAGAATAAAAGTAAAACCAGGTAGCTTCCACACTCACCCCCTCTTCCCTCATAAACATTAGTCTTTATTTTTATTGCCCTTCACTCCTGAAAGGCCTGAGTAATACACAAGCCGTAAGCCTTGCACGTTCATAAATGTGTGCAACTTCAGACCACAGCTGTAGACTCCCAAGCTGTGTTCCCCTCTGAGAATGGCCTGCCAGCAGCTCCCTCTCTAAGAGGTTTCCCCTTCCAAAACGAGGCAGGAGAGTCACTCCCATTATAAAGATGATAAAGAAAGAGACATAAAAGTCTGCTCGTGTTTGCAGTGGGAACAGTGACCCAGTGGGAACAGAATTCCCGCCTGCCTGATTCCCAGTGTGGCAAGGCAAGGCAGTCTAGTGGACTGAGCACATTTATTCTTAAACTTGTTTGGTTTCCCATGTCGTGCACTAACTACAGAGGCGTGCTGCATCTTATCACTAACAAGATTTCTTTCTATCCAAGTGCAAAAAGATGGACATTGTACCCAAAGGACTGAAAGTGAACAACCCATTAAGATTTTATGTGTGTTCATTTTTATTTTGATTTGGTATATATGGTCATGCCTATTTTCTTCCACAATCTGATCTGAGGAAGTGGGGCTGGCCCACGAAAGCTCATCACCTAATAAACCATCTTGTTAGTCATTAAAGTGCTGCATAGTCCTGTCTTTTGTTTCAAGCTTTCTCCACAACTGGGCAAGAGAACACACCTGTTGTCTTGCCTGCAGTTCCCCAAAACTTACATGTGCGTGTCTGTGTCACACCCCACACGTGGCAGTCTCCACTCAGGAGCAGCCAAGTCTGGAACAGCAGGACGTACTGCACATCAGGAGTGAGGAGACTGCACAGAGCTATTGCTGGGTTGGTATTGTTGAGGGCAGAGATAAGGACTGAGGTCGCTGTTAAGAGATTTGTGGGGCATCCACAGTTGAAATAAGGGGCAGTATAGGTCAAGATTGATGTTCAAGTCTAAACAAGCACATCTATCTGAGGAACAATGCACAGCGCTGGGTACGATCATTTATCAACATGTAGGAAATAAGTGCAAATCTGTTCACATGATTCCAAGTAGACGCATTGACTATGTTGTAACATTACATTTTCTTGCTAGTTTACATTCTAGTTTCACACTGTAGTTTCACACTGTGTTATCTTTGCTGAGAGCCTAATGATTCCTAATGCTCCTTGCCTTTCACTTACAACCCACAACTGAAACCAATTTGTACAGAGCTCAAGATGTTATAATTGTTAGACTTTTGTATCTTCCCCGCTAGAGGCCAGCAAATCCTCAGACACTGCAGAATGCACTCAGTTTTAGGAGGAAAGTAGAGTATAAACTTGTATCATTAGAACTAACTATTTAGCCCTCAAAGACACAATCCATCTCAGATGCTATACACTCTCTACATTCTATGTGCTTAGTAAAACCATTATATGCACGTGAGAAGAGTTAATATTTTTACAAATTTTTCAAATAGGTAAATATAATCTTATAGCTCTAAGTAAGTGTTGATGAGAATCTGCCAGCTTGTAAACACTGACTCAACTGAGCTAAGTTTCAGACTGTTGCAGCAGGAGTTCTCTGATCATTCAGAAAAATATTAAAAGACAGGTGTATATTTTAGGGAATGATTCATGAAATCATTGGCATTGAATCTGCCAATACATTCATATTTAGGTGCTATTCTACCCAACTCTTGAAATGTAGGCTCAATTTAAAATAGTAAAGAACAATTCTGAAGCACAATTATTTTCTGTGTTTTTCAACATTCTTGGAAAATTCCGTTAAATCAGATCATCTCTATTATTAGGAAACAAACAAACAAACAATCAATCTGGCCACCATAGACCATCCTAATATTATGAAGAACATAAATAACTCGGTCTAAAAATGAGCATTACACCTCCAGATGGCTTTTTTGGCCATTGACAAGTCAAGATTTATGAAACAAAGGATTTTACTTGATGTAATTGTGTCAAATGTGCACACAAAAGCCCCTTATTCATTTTTACCCTAGACAATCACAACAAAACAAAACCATATCAAATTAATCAGAATTATTATTTTTGGGGTAGATCTGTACAACGCAAAATCGTTTGCATTATAATTTCCACTCAATGTAGGTCTCACCAATATAGCATCCAATATTTCTACACTCAGCCCATAAGATTTATAGACTAGAATAACATCTTCCACAGCATGAACAACTATAGTATTTAACTGAGCATCAGGCTCAGAGGGTCAGCCACAGTTATGCTGTCAAGTGGGTTAGCTACGTCAAAACAGCTTTCCACACCAACTGCTGGCAATGTAATATGCCATCTTGATATAAGGAGCTGCCAGTAGCCAAGACAGAATGTACATCAGTGAAGAGCCATGAATGTCACACACAGCTTCTGTCATCTCTTCATGCTGACTTTACAACAGTCTAGAGTAAGACAGCGGAGAATGACTACAAGCAGATTTTTTTGCAGCTTTGGAGACCACAGTTTGGACATCCAGAGTGTAGGAACCAGGGGGAAAGCCTGTCTTGCAGTCCCAAGGGAAACGGAATGCAAATTACATAGAGAATGCACCATGATAAAATGATATTTCTTGGTACTAATTTGTGTACATGAAATGGCTTCTCTTCCTGTGTCAAGCAATATCCCTATCCAGTGTCCCCATTTTTAGGGAGTGCTCTGAGGTGGCTGATCTCTCTACAGTATTCAAACAGCTGTGGAACACAAAGCTTGCCTGTGAGGTATTTTATTAGTTTAGATTGTAGACTATTTGGGATGTGGGTGTTTTTAAATCCCCACGCAAACATATGACAGTGCACTAGCACTGTCATAAAGGTACACAGTGGCATATAAATTCTTAGGCAAACAACTGCTCTGTTTCCTTGTGTACCTCATCTAAGGAACACAAGGATTACATTTGGATTTCAAGATGTTAAACAGTACTGTATATTAGTTACCAAAGGGATTTCAGTACATAAAAATCACCAACCACTGATTTTAGCAACCATGAGAGTCAATTGCCACCTGATGTTTGAAGCACTGTGGAAAATTAGTTAAATAACTGGGATCACTCTCGGGGGGGGGGGTGGGAGAGATTCAAAGCCCCAGGGCCTGACTTGTTTCTCAGTGTGGGGCCATTTTGTAATGGTTTTGTGATTACAAAAACATTTGGCAGACCAAAGTCTCTCTTGGAAGGTAATTTATTAAAGAAGACCAATTGTGTAGCTTTGCTAAGTGTTTAGACCTGAACTACATGTGAAATATGGAAAAGAAAGGCACATTTGTAAATCTAACCCTTAATTTAAATCCACAGATATTATGCACAGTATGAACATGTTATGCTGTGCACCTAAAAAATGCAAGCACTGATGAGAGATTTTTCCCCTGTAGTCTGAGGCAATCCATTCCATTCTGCATCTTACAATGAGGCATTCAAGAAAGCAGATCAGTTAGACTACTCATAGGATCAAAGGTCACGCCCTATGACCCTTCAAATGCTAATATCAGAGGAGTAACAGCTTGAAAAAAATAGAACTCCCTTTTCTGTACATTTTCTCCTGCTAAACTGAGGAGAGCATCACTGCATGCCTGTCACATCACCTGACATACCAGAAGATCTACAACTGCATTGTTCTTTTTTTTCCATGGCTTTGGATAATCCATTCATCGTGTCTATAAATGTCCACAAACCCTCCTTTCATTTAGCCATGTGGCAACTCGGACATTACCACTCTCAAACTAGAAGGCATCCATGAATGTGAACAATGGATTTACCATGACATAGCAAATCAAGAAATATGATTTAGTGTAGGGAGCAGAGGAAGAGACAGAAATAGCCAATGTCTAAGTTGGTCCCCCCAGAAAGAGATCGGACACTGAGTACTGAAGGGTGGTAGTTTTTTTGGGGTGGGTACTTATCATGTAAGTGGGTGCATTTCTGAATCATTTCATTATGAGCCTGCAGCATTAAAAACTACTACTCAAACAGCATTCAAAACAGAAGTCTAGCAAATTTCCTATACCAGGCCAGAGTATTATATAAAAAGAGAATGATTTCCAGAAATTAAAATGGACCCCAATGTCACCTGCTCTCAATGTGCCTTTTTGCTGCAGTAACAAAAGAGCATTGTCTCTCCCTTCATAATGTCAGCAGAAATATGCAATGTTATGCAGCAATAAGGAGATATTTTTAGTATTTAAAAGGAGGTGACTTTCCTAACCAAAAAAATAAAAAAATAAAAATAGTTCTGGGATTGAGGAATTTTGCATTATAACCACCTGTAGTTTTAATGTGCATTAAGTCAGCCCAAAATAGATACAAGTCTGCACATCATGACCCAATCGCATCTCTTTCTTACAACCAAACAAAAAATCAGACACTGGAGTTTACTTGCTTTGAAAGTTATATTAAAAACAAACAAACAAAAAATTCTTTGCTTCCCTAGTTCTGAATTTAAACAACAAAAATCCCATACTTTAGTCCCAGGTTCCTATGCATCCAAGATTAAAGGGTGAGAGAGCAGCTTAAACTGGAGTGGAACTAAAAGCATAATTTGTAAATGTTTAAAGACTTGATACTTGAGAGTTTCCATTGAAATGTGATCAAATGAACAACAAACATTGTCTAAAATTACTAAATAGCGTCAAAGAAATAAACCTGAATAGTTCTGGGAGAGATTTGGGGCTTTTGTTTTTGGGGTTTTTTTTTTAACAATATCAATATTCCAACCCCAAAAAGCAGTTCTCCCA